ATAGATTGGTTTTGAAAATTTTCTGCTCTGATGGTTCCCTGAACACAGGACAGCAAGTAGGGCTTTCTGCTTTCTCCCAGGATCCCTAGAGACAGGAACAACAGCAGCTGTGCCCACAGCCCATGGTGACTGGGTCTATGCAGTAATTCAGGCAGATGCCACAGGTGAGCTCTTTAGGGAATTTTTTGGGAAGTCTGAGTCCATTTTTCTGAGGGAAGAAAATCAGGAGTTTCCTCCTCTGCCCAGGAGACACAAAGGTCTAAGCAAAATGTGACTCAGGATGTGACTCAATAACACTGTGTCCAGAGAAGAGCAACCTTGATAGGCATGTGACACAAACAGAAAGCTGACCCAGGAAAGCTCTCACAACCTGTAATAACTATTCTTGGCTTTCTAATCAGCACTATCCACCTCCTGCACACTTTTCTTCTGCTTAAGAAAGATCCTCAATTTGCTGAGGTCTTATTTTCTCCAAATAGCTTGAGTTTCAGGTATTTGGAATAATTTACAGTTCCAGGTTCTGGGTCCTGCATGCTCTAATATTCCATCTAACACTCACTGCCAGTCACTCACTTAGCTCAAGGTATTTTACTTCCGTTTTCATTATTATGTAATTGTCAGGCATTTCACCTTGGATGTTCTTTTTCATCTTAATCAGAATCCACATCACAAAACATTTGATGGAACCCATCTGACGTATTTCCTTTTGTTACATGTGCTTAAAAAAAAAAGATTTCGGAGAGAGGAAGAGAGAGAGAGAAGCATTGATGAGAAAAACATGGACTGATTTCCTCCTGCACATGTCCCACTGGTGATTGAGTCCACAACCTGGGTATATGTCCTGGCCAGGAATCAAATTGGGGATCTCCTAGTGCAGTGATGGTGAACCTTTTGAGCTCGGTGTGTCAGCATTTTGAAAAACCCTAACTTAACTCTGGTGCTGTGTCACATATAGAAATTTTTTGATATTTGCAACCATAGTAAAACAAAGACTTATATTTTTGATATTTATTTTATATATTTAAATGCCATTTAACAAAGAAAAATCAACCAAAAAAGTGAGTTCACGTGTCACCTCTGACACGCAAGTCATAGGTTCGCCATCACTGTATGGGATGTTGCTCTATTTAACCAACTCAACCACACTGCCCTGGCGACTTTTTTTTTTTTTTTTTCATGTATAGGGCGTAATGTCACAGGAAGGTCATAGTATTCTGTCCCCGTGAGGAGTAAGCCCAAGTTGCTGTTGGATGTGTTGTACACTGAGAAGCCGTTCCTCAGACTTTTTTGATTTATACAAAACAGTATGTGAACACTTTAAGAGTAATGAAGAGAAAACTAAACATTGTCAGAATCATCAGAATCTCACAGTCTCTACTCACATGATTATTCCAATGTGCTTTATTAGCCCTCTTCTCTTTTTTGCCATATTAATTATTCAAAGAAACAAAAAATTAAAGAGAATTGTTGTATATTTGAAGTCTTCAATAATGATTATCAAGCACTACTTGTGATAAGATTATGATAAGATTACGGATGTAATCATAATTGTAGTAGGGGGATAGGCATGAGAAGAGTAGAACCTATGGACCAGTTGCATAGGGTCGCCAGGGTGAGAGCCCCGGGTGCCCAGCAATGGGATATAAACTACAAGTCCTTGTTCTACCACTCCCTTAAGCATTAAGCCCTGGAAATGACATCTAGGCCGCAGTTGTGTGTCAGCTCCAGGCCCAGAAAAGCAGCCAAACCTGGCAGAGTAAAGCCATGGCTAACACCAGGACCAGCTGCGAAGACCAATGACTCCTTCTCATGGTGCCAAGCAATCAGTGGAGACTAGGAGCCTGAGGAGACACACCTAAAAGTGGGTAAATATTCTATTGAGAACCTCTCCTGATCTCATATAAAAGTCCTCAGGCTCTAGTCAGTTTGGCTCAGTGGTTCAAGCCTCAGCCTCAGGCTGAAGGGTCTCGGGTTCCATTCTGGTCAAGGGCACGTGTTTTGGTTGCAGGCTTGTTCCAGGCTAGCAGTCAGGGCTGGTGCTGGAGGCAACCAACCAATTGATATGTCTCTCTCCCATTGATGTTTCTCTCTCTCCCTCTCTCCCCCTTGCTTCCACTCAATATAAACATCTATAATAATAAAAGCATAATATGCTAATTAGACCAGATGTCCTTCTGTCCTTCCCGACGAAGCTGAGGGGAAGGAAGGCCTACTCATGCATGCAATTTCGTGCATTGAGCCTCTAGTAAGTAAGTAAGTAAGTAAATAATAAAACAAATGGAAAAAAATATCCGTGAGGGAGGATTAACAAAAAATGAAATAAAATCCCTCAAAATGGAGGACCCAGCGTAGATCTCTTTATGGAGCACAGCTTGGCCTTTCTCTACCCCTGTCTTTCCCCAGGGACTGCTCTCTCTTTTTCTTTCTCTCTCTTTCTACCTCCCTCTTCACCTCCCCCCTCTGGAGTAAGCCCAAACCTCTCCTCCCACTTACATTTCCCAAGGTGTCTCTCTCTCTCTCTCTCTCTCCTCACTAATGTCAAAGGACCTTCCTTTTCTTTTTTCCTGGTAACTTGTTTTCTGAGCACAATTCTTTTATGGCTCATTTCGTCTACCTCTGTGACTTTCTATAATAAACTTTATCTTAAAGTTTGAGTCTTGCCTCCTAATTCTTCTCTTAGCCAGAACTCAAGAACCGAAGTTGCTGCTGAATGGAGGCTAGCACCTCTGCCATTTTCCCTGCTACTACTAATAATAATCAGCACCGCCCTAGCTGGTTTGGCTCAGTAGATAGAGCATAGGCCTGCTGACTGAAGGATCCCACGTTTGATTCTAGTCAAGGGCACATGCTCAGGTTTCGGGTTTGATCCCCAGTAGAGGGTGAGCAGGAGGCAGCCCATCAATGATTCCCTCTCATCACTGATGTTTCTATCTCTTTCTCCCTCTCCCTTCCTATCTGAAATTAAAAAAATATATATATTTAAAATGATAATAATCAGCACCAAATAACAAATCATGCTTTTAAAAATGCATTTCACTTAAAACTGGGTCTTCATACTAGTTAAATAGAGATGTCCCCCAAACTCCTCATATTTCTTATATGCCCAGTGTCACTTTCTGCCAGCCCAATCATTACCTACATTATTTAAAATGTAAGTCAGAAAACTCATGTTTCTTCAGACATTTATTTCACTTTAAAACAATATTCTCCTTAAATCACTTCCCCGTGTAAATGAAGCACATCATCTCCTTAAAAACTCCAGGGTCCATGTCAATGATTTCAACCCGATTCTTGTTGCTCTCCTCCATTGCATGTGCAAACATGGCCCTAAACACTGGAGAACGAGCTGCTACGATAGCTTTGTGAGCCTGGAATTTCTGGCCAGCAACACAAAAACAACAGTCTGTGAACCAGGAATTCTCCCAAAGACCTCCTAGCTCATTGGCCAGCTGGCACTCAGGAACCTTCACCATCTTCGTGGTATTCTGGCCAGAAATGGTGACGGAATCTTGCACCACACTCACCTCACAGAAGAGGGTCAGCTTGTCATCTGGAAGAAACCTGTAGTCTTCATCGAAGAGAACATCTCTACGGATGAATTTCTTGAATCCCCAGTCTTTGCCTTGTACAAACATATATGCCTGGTGACTCTCCAAAGATTTGGTTTCTTCTCCCTTGTCATTCAGGATGGAGAGTTTGAATTTTGCCAAAAATATACGCTTCGGAGAACTAACCAGAAATAGGTAAAGTGACAGGTGATCTTTGCTGTCTTCATCTAGCCCTTTCGGGTATACTCTCAAACACCATTTCAGGTGAGCAATGGCTTCTGATGAAAAGGTTGAACTTTGAATGACTTCACCCACTTCCTGCCGGCAAAAGCTAAAGTTACTGATGGTCCACATGTGGGAGAATTTCACTACCTTGATCTGAGTGTGGCACCAGCTCTCAGCTACAGGGCCACTTGACATTTCTGCTGGAGGTGGTGGACTTGAAACCCTTGACATTGCAAGTTTGAAGGTTAAATGAGATTTCCAAAGTCAGAGGATTTCTGTTCTATTTTCACCCATGTTAAGTCAGTAGTGGGAAGAGGAATGTTGTCTTGCCTAAAAGGAAATCTCTCAGAGCGGGGCCTACAACTGGTGGTACCTGTCCTTCTGCACTGGCTTCAGACTGCTGGCAACATTCAGGCTTTCTTTCTAAAAACTGTCTGAATGATGCATCTAAAATATAAATGCTGCTTGGCTGGTGTGGCTCAGTGGTTGAGTGCCGACCTATGAAGCAAGAGGTCTCAGTTCCATTCCAGGTCAGGGGATATGGTCAGGGTTCAGGCTAGATACCCAGTGTAGGGCTTGCAGGAGCAGCAATTCAGTGATTCTCTGTCTTCATTGATTTTCTATGTCTCTCTTCCTCTCTAAAATAAAAATTAATTTAAATAAAACATAAATGCTGTCATAGTAGACAGATGCTCAACAATTACCTAAGATTCATTTAATAATATTTATTGAGTTTTGTGTGAGTGCCAGGCATTTCTTAAAGTGATCCTCTAATCCACAGGTGGGGAACGTCCTCCCTGAGGCCCCCAAAATCATTTGGTCTCGCCCTCCCAAGGCTTTAGGGGTAATTAAAATGTTAAACCAAATGTAGGAGGCTAATTTTTAATATTATCAGTTCATTTTGTTTGGCGCTAAAAATATTTTCTAAATATCTAAATGGCCCTTGGCAGAAAAAGGTTTCCCACTCCTGCAGTCTAATCTGTTTACACTACAGGATATTCTTTGGTGTAGACCACCAGGGAAACTCCCTAAAAATCTAATCACTTTCCCTTTCCAACATTTAAAAGAAATCACTAATTATCCAATACTTGGGGACTATTATCAAATTTACAAAAATTTTATCAATCTCATGTGTAAAAAATAATTCTTTTGAATAGAATTTCTTTCTCCCCTTCAGTAATTAGAGTTAGCATCTTTTCCTGTTTCTTTGTTCTTTGATTTTCTTTGCCATAAATAAGCTGTACATAAAATTGATCATATTTCTATTGGGTTATCTATTACTTTTATTATCTGTAAGTATATATTCTTCATTGCATTCTAAAAACAAATTACTTTCTTTTTAAAGTGACAGGTATTACTCACTTATATTAATTTCCCTTCATGTTTAAAGTGGCACAAACATTCGACTAGCAAGTACTGAAGCACTATAGTGCTTAACAAAAGAACTCTAGTTAGGCGCTATAGTTCTGCCTAACAATAATACAGAGTTAGTCTCCTTCCAGCCTCTGGTCATAGCATGCCCATCCATCAGTTAGTACATCATCTTGTTTTATGTGTGTTTCTATTTAAAGACATCTTAGTTAATATATATTACTTATTTATTAACATTGAATTCATGGCCTACAGTGCTAGAGCTCATTCCTTAAGGAAGCTTATCTAACAGATACATTATTTCCATAAGGTGTAGCCCAAATGAGTGTTGGGGTCCAGCCGCAGCAGGTCCAGGGGTTCCCAAAGGTGTGGAGGGAGTCGGCAAAGAAGGAATGCCATGGAGGCAGCGTGGATCAGCAGCCTAGGTAGTTAAAGTGATTAACTAAGGACCTGCCTGGCCCTTAGTTAGGGGTTTTATTCCCTCCCTAACTTCAGGGGGAAATCCCTACCTGGAGAAACAACCTTTCTCGGAGAGGTGACCTTGGTTAAAACACATAGCGCCAAGAAGGGAAGCAAACATATTAAGAACAGTATGCCATATATGCCAGGTCCCTTGAAACATATGCTGTGCAGATGTTTCTTTTACTGCAGCAACTGTGTCAAGCAGCAAGGATGGACTGGCTTCCTGCAGATGAGGGCAGTTTTAAACAGCAAAGTCACCAACAAGTGGCACCAAAATACCAAAAAACAGGTATACTATACCATGGTAAAGACACTTACTTACTGTTTGAGCTTCTCCTTATTCAAACTCTGCTTGGAACATTCAACTGCTGGAATCAAATTTCTCCTCTCAGTGCAAGTCTATGAATGGCAAGGAAAACACCATGAAAATTACTTTTAGAATTACAAATAAATTTAGTGAATATGCAAATTTGCATATACAGAATCTGAAAATAAAGAGGACGGACTGACTCTATTTTTCCTGGTATGATATATCTATGTGTTTTTATATGAAACTGAAACAAAGGAAGGAAATTTGGGAAGGGACTATCTAATATTTTCTTTTTAAAAAATATGTGTGGGGTTTTTTTTAAATTGATTTTCAGAAAGAGAGGAAGACAGAGAGGTAGAGAGAGAAACATCTCTTAGCTGGCTCCTGCATACCCACTACCTGGTATTGAGCCAGAAACCCTGGCACATCTGTGAATGGAGCCAGCAACCTTTTGGTGCATGGAATGATGCCTAACTAACTGAACCACACTGGGCAGGGCCTAATGCTAGTATATTCTGAGAGAAGAATTCTTTTCGGATAGACCACAAGATTTATGGTCAAGACTGCCAAGCAAATGAAGAAAGATCTATCAGTGCTGTCAGTCAAGGCTCAACCACAGAGGCAGAACCAGTAATATAGATGCACATATGAAGAGATCCATGTACAGATTTTTTACAAGAACTGACTTACATGATCATAGGGGCTAGTTAAGCAAGTGTGAGATCTGTGGTAGAGTAAGTCGGGAAGAGAAATCCCCAGCTGGCTGGAACCCAATGGTCATGAGACAAAGCAGTTGTCACTGTCAGTGAGAGGTTTTTGGAGCAATAGAGACCCATTTGATGATTGGAGTGTTGTTCAAGGATTGTCTAAGCCTTTCCTTAAAGGACTTCCACTGATAAAGTCAGGACCACTTTCCAATTTCTTTAACTCACAGGCAAGGTAAGGGACTTTATTTACAACTGCAAATCTCCTCACAGCACCAAGTAGATTAGCCTTTGATTGAATAACTAGGCAAGGGGTATGTATGTTAAAAAAACAAAACAAAACAAAACAAAAAAAACA